GACTGTGGGGGCTAGGAAATGGGACCTGCTCTCAGGAAGGACCTGAAGCCCTCTTTGTTAGAAGACATGCCTGTGTGAGATGAGACTCCTTCACACGAAGAAGCTAGGTACACTTTCCTCCTAGGTATAGCCCTGATAAAAGTATGTGCTAGGCACTGATTCTCAATAGGCCAGGTTCTATGCTGCCCACTGCAGTAAAAAGATAGAACCCAGAACTTTGTCCTCTTGGGACTACTTCCTGTGTGGCCAAGCCTCTTTTGTTCTTTGTAGAATTTAAGGATTTGATGAAGGCTAAAGGTGTAGCTCAGTGGTAGACCACTTGCCTAATGTGCATGGAAGTACTGGATTTGATCCCCAGCAGTGAAAAAACAAAAAACAAACAAACAAACAAAAAACCCACCAGGATTTGGTGTTTGGACCAAGTCTCTTTTGGCTGGTAAGTCTGATTGCTAAGCATAAAAGGGATAATAATAATTAGGAACATGATTTGAATTATTGTCCCCAAATACCACTGTAAATACTTAAGTAGTGAATTAAAGTAAAGCAAACAGTGCCTAACATATAATAGTATAAGTAAAAATCCACACAACCACCCTTGAAGGTACTCATTATCCCTACTTTTCAAACTAGGAAACAAGCTTAGAGAGTTTGTCCAACTTGCCTAAAAGTCACATGGCAGGTAAGTGTTAGAGTGTAGGTTAGAATTCAAGGTGTTTTGAATGCAGAACCAGCTCTCTTTGAAATTTCTTAGCCAAAAGTAAGGATCTAGGAGACTCCCTGAATGAGACAATTACTCAGCCTTTGTGGTAGTCAGTGTAAAAAAAAAAAAATCACAGATGGAGCCCCAGGATCTCTGGGAGATGCCTAGTTGTAGAGACAGACAATTAACACAGCTTCAGGAGAACAAAGAACCAAGCAGGGGAGACATTTGACCAGTGGTTCTTAAACATAAGTGTGTATCTAATTTGTTCTGGGGTGGGGCGTTTTAAAACTGCAGGTCCCTGGGTACCATATCTGGACATTCTGATTCAGATAGTCTAGGAGGGGACTGAGAAATCTTCAGTGAAATCATTGCTCCGGAGTAGGGAGAGAAGGGGGCAAAAGTCTGCATTGCTAGGAGACAATAGGTCATCAGTGGGGTTGATCAGAGCCAGTTGTTAAAGTTGGGTGTTAACTTCTGGTGCAAGAAATGCCTGTAGAGCCCACCAAAGGCCTGAAATGAGCCAAATGTTGGGTAAAGGGTGTATGCATGGTGTTGAGAAGAGTAGAAACACACAGGTGTAGTTCTCAAGTCATGAAATAAATGGGTTTTGCCCAGGAGTTCTTAAAGTCTGTTAGAACCAGGCCTGGATCCTGTGACTCCTAAGTGAGCAGGGGCGAATCCCATCAGCTTGTTGTAGGAGGCTCTGCACAAAGTGCTTTTTGAAGGCAACAGGAATCTGAGGGTAGGGCAAATGACAGGAGAAGCAGCTAGAGGTAGTCTGGCTGGAAACCAATGGGCTGGGAGCAGCTTGCCCCATCACAGGATCCTAGTTGATGGTTCCTAGGAGCACAGCTTTCGGAAATCGCGCCCCCTCTGGGAAGGCGGAGAAAACGAGGTGGTCCCAATATCCCAGCACTGGCTTTAAGGCCCTTGGGGCCTCGGAGCTGTCTCCTCTGCTTGTCAGAAGAAGAGACCCCTGAGTATGGGCAAAGCATCTCGGACTTTCGTCCAAGGCTCAATGCACTTTGCTCGCAGAGGCGGAGAGCTGGGAGAGGGAGGGGCGGCTCACGTGTCCTCTTCTTCCCCCCACACCGCCCAGTCAGCTCCCGCCCGGGGCATCAGCGGCGTCGCCGCAGCCCGCGAGACGCTTGTCCTACAGCGCCTCCTCCTGGACAAGGTGCTAGACAGCAGAGCAGAGAGACAGGCAGCCCCGGAAACCCCCGTTCTGGGGCTTCGTCCAGCGGGTGGAGGTCTCCCAGCACCAGAGGCTCGTCCTCTAAGGTCCCCGAGGGCTGTCTCTCACCACCCCACCCCCCAGCACAGAAAACAAGCCCGTGGCCCAGAAGCGCGCATCCCCCATTAATTAGACGAGCCCAGGCAGAAAATCCGTCCAGTTTGTCGGTTTATTTATTTATTTACTTGACTCCGCTGAGCCGCTCTCCCCACCCCAGCCCTCGAACGTGCTGCGCTGGCGTAACAAGATCCGGGAATGGTCTGCCTGAAAGATTGGCCTTAAATTTGGCGGTTTGAACAGGCGCCAAGAGGAAAGGCCTCTTCCCAAAGCAGACGCACCAGGCTGAAAAAAAAAACCGAAATCTATACACTTCCCCGAGGGTCAAATATATCTATGTCTATAGCTGTAGAAATACCTTTTAAAAAAAGATCGTCTCCATGGGCTACTAACTGGTGTTTGCAGCCTGTTTCTAAAAATACAGATTTAAATCGGGGTGGGGGGTGGTAAATCACGATTGAAAATAATGTAGCGAGGCAAAACTCTTTGGCTATATTTAGACGGAAGGCTGGAATAAAGGAATGGAGAGGAGCGAATCCTGAGGGAAGGGGTAATGGAGAGATCCGGTTGTATCTTCCTGCCAGGAGTCCACTGGCCCCCTCCCCCCACCCATGCCGCACTGGTTGAATCCCTGGGCTGGGCTATTTCACTGCACATGCGCCAGACTAGCGCGCGTGGTCGACGTTGCGGGGCACTGAGCTGTGCCCGCTGCGTGCCCTGCGGAGTGCGGTATTCGGCACCACCCTCTACTCCTTCGCTTGGCTGCAAAGGGGCTTCGAAGCCCCGTCTGGAAAAGGCAGGAAATGTACTTTTCTTTTTCAGGAAAACCTGTACTAAAAAGCCTCATCCATTCCGATTTGCAAGCCCTGTACCACCAAACCAACAAAATCGTAGTGTTGTCAATGATAACTCTGTGTTGTCATTCGGATCTGAAATTTCATATCTAGGGCACTTCTTTCCCTTAGTCGTCCATCAACACGGGGAAAACCACCTTATGTTCAGAGAACACAACTTTTCCCTCTTTCTGCAAAAGTATCAAGTCTAAGGGACCAATCCCTAACAAGACGATATCTATTTACATCATTTCCCAAAACATGGCTCTAAATTGGATTTAAATCGGAATCTGAGTTCTTGGTAGCTTCTCCCCAGCTTCCGGTGCCCCCCACAATCCCTGCCTGGTCGCCGCAGTGCGGCGAGGCCGTAAATACCTCTAACAGCTGCCTGCCAGCCCAGGGTGAAATACTGTCTTTGTTCCGATTTCTCCTGCCTCACGGATTCAGAGAACAGAACTCTGGTGAAATATATTTGTTTGGAAAAATATCTGATGGGAAAACACAGTTGGTTTTCAGTTCTAATTCTTGGCCACATTTTTAAGAGTGAGCTTGGCTCTTCTTCCTGGTCCTCCCAGAGATCACAAGCCGGACCACAGCCTGACCCAGAGACACACTGAGGCCCCGACAAGTTTACTGGCTTCCTAATCTATAAATGGACAAAGGTCTGGTCAAGGACGCTAGGAGCTACACTTCCTGGACTCTGAGCTCTTAGGGTACAAGGGTTTTTAAATTTCGTTTCATTTCAGTTGTTGTCGGTTTAACAGAGACAACAGGGCAATTTCGTCAGTGGCAACAACCCCAACTAGTTTCCTCGTGGACTAAATGGCCTGAGTTGAAATATAATTTGCATTATTCCTCTAGATACAATCAACCATATCTTTCAAATGAGCTCAGTGCTATTATGGGGCTTACAAAGAGCTCCTCAATCCTCTATATCTGCCCATGACATCACCTTCTGCTGCATAATGGAACCTGCAGACTACCTTGGTTCTTTGCAGCTTGAACTCACTGGGCCATGAACCTGGAGAAAAGTGTTTGAAGCTCTGAACCCACAGCTTGTTCATTAGAGCCACAATTTCACTCCTACCCCCACCCTTGCTCCAGCTGACCTCCAGTTCCTGGCCGGGCCTATGAATGAACCCTGCTCAAGTCTACTTTCTACAGATATCAAAGAATGATCTCAACATCATCAAACTGGTAAAGAAATAATTACAAAATACAGAAACTCCAAATAAAAAAATATCACTTAAGAATTCATTATTTGTTAGTGATCAGAGTTAGTGACTTAGGACAATCCTGCAGATGTCACTGACCACAAATTGTGGCCCGCCATTTTGAAATGAACATAATCCCATAGCTAATACCTAAAAATATCTTTCTATAAATATGGCATATATTGTTCAGAAATGCTCTTCCAGCCAACACTGTTACACTGAAATGTTTGGGGGAACAATAAGGATTTGCTATTAGGTGCTTTGGGGATGATACCCTGACATGCGCAGTTAGACCCCATGCGCAATGCGGCAGATTGTCTAAAGGTTTTCATATTTCACAATATTCATGAAGGAATTAGGCAATAGGATTTGCAAACTGCATCCTCAAGTGCCATTCAAAATCTGTGAGGGAAAAGCAGTATAAAAATTTTCTACGTTTTTCCCCCCTAACAAATGTGTGGTTCAGTAGTTTTGAAGCAGAGAGGAAAATGTTGCTATGTAATGTTTATTGGAAGGCAAAACCCCCCAATACATTTAGAAAGCCAAAAGACCTACTCTTTTGCTACTCTGGCAAAAGACAAAAACACCCGGTGTTTGAATTTACAGTGCTTTGCATTTCTGAAATGTCTGTTGGGTTTATCCTAAGATGTGCTCCAGTTTTTTTTTTTTTTGACACTATTAATTCCCAAACCTTGCATCCATTTTGTAGCATAAAATAATCCAAATTCATCTGAGAGACTATCAGATTCGGAAGAAACCTATTTTGAGTTGTTATTTTTTTAAAAAATCCCCTGAGCACTAAAGAAATATTTAAAATTTTATCCCATACCCAAGGCCCAATAAACCTTAAACCCTAGAAATTAACCAGCATCATTATCAAAGCCTCGATTAAAAAAAAAAAAAAAAACAAGCACACTCTGAGTACACAGAATCCACCCCACCCCCATCCAAAGCTCTAACCCTCAAAAAACACCTGTCAGCCTCTCAGGTACCTCGGAACATAGACAAACCGCAAAACCAACGTCTTATTCTACAGGGTGCCTTTATTGACCCCCCACAATTCCAACAAAGCTAAAATACTCAGGAACCATCTTCACACCATTCATCCAAGGTCGGGATTGAGGGGCTCTTGATTTAGTCAGTGGGATCCTATCTGCTACTGCCCACCTCTGGAGGAAACCAGACTTTCCCCCTTCGACTTCTGAGCCCAGCAGGTCCCCACCCGGGCCCCAAGGGACATCCTGGGGATGGATTAGAGGGCAGGGGTGCATACAGTGACCCCTAGGTTCCAGGGATGTATAGGGGGCTGGGCTGGGCTCCTCGAACCGCGCTAAGCGGTTGGCACTTCGAGCTCTTCGCTGGCAGCTCTCGGGGCGCGGGGAAGGGGTGACTCTTACCCGGAGGCTGTCCAGCGGGAGCCGGCGGTCGGCCTGGGCGGCTGCTGTAATCCACTAAGCACAGCCTGGCTGCGCGCACTCTGGGCAGCAGGAACTGGCTCATGTTGGAGAAGAAACCGCGTCGGAACCGCGCGGCTAGTCACTCGGAGCAGGCCTGCTGCTGCCGGCAGGCGGTGTCAGCGCCGGCGGGGGGCTCGGCGCCTGGGGCTCCTTCCGGGCTCCCCACCAGCTCCGGAGGCGGCCGCGGTGCGTCCGGAGCTAGCGGCGGTAGGGTCAGGCCCGGCGCCGGGCAGGAGCCGAGGCCGCAACGGACCCCGCAACCCCGCAGCCGCCGACTGGAGCCCACCTCTGCAGAGACAAAGGTTAGAAAAAGAGGGGGTGAGGCTCTGGGAAAGCAGAATGCGGGGGGAAATTCGCCTGGGAAATCAGGAAAAAGGCCGTGAAGGCGAGCGGCGCCTGCACATGACCAGCCGCAGCCAATGACGACCGCAAATAGGTCATAAAAAGGTCTATTACCAAGTTGTAAATTTTCTTCAAACAAAAAGGAATTTACTGCAATTCCTTGCGGATTTTGCACATACAGCTCGCAAGCGCCATGTTTTTTCCTCTTCCCCGTCTTTCTTTTTCTCGCTTTTTGCTGTTCTCTCCCTCCTTTCTCTCTCTCTCAGTCTCACTCCTCCAGTCCTTTTTTCCTCTTGTCTCCCAGGTCTGTTGGTCTTTCTCTCTTTCCTCTCCACCCTCTCTCTCTCTTTTCTCCCTCGCTCCCCGCCTCTCCTCTCTTCTTTTTCTAGGAACGTGTGTGTGTGTGTGTGTGTGTGTGTGTATTTAATTTGGCTTAAAACCTCTGTGCCTTTGGCTGCCCTGTTGGATATGGTTGGCTCAGGTGCTAAGGAGGTCATTCCTCCTGCAAACCCCCAATGTCTTCCACTACCTTGATAACTTGGCTTCTCCTCCCTTCCCTTCATAAAAGGCTTGTCCAGAGGGGTAGCCAAGCACTTTCATTTTTACCCTCTTACCTAAGGCAAGCCTACCCCAGTGATCTTGCCCAGAAAATCTGGGCTCTGCAGACCAAGAAAGCACAATCTCCCCTCCCACTCCTCTCCAACATAAATTCAGATCTTCCATTTGCTGGGGATTTCTTTGGTATAAGAATTACCAACCAGTCCAATAGCTAAAATGGTTTTAAGTACTTGTCAACCTCTCCAAAATAACAGTTTGGGCATCCACTGTTTGGTCAGTGTCTCCGCATAAACATCCTCCTAGACAGTCTTGGGTTACAAGTGATCATTTGGGATCCCCTCTGAAATTCCTTGCTTTAGGTCCCCTCTGAAAGCAATTCTCATTTCTGTGAAATTCAATCCTAGCTCCTCTTTTTCTCCTTGAACCCCAAATATTTGCCCATTGAAAAGTCTATTTAATGCAGTTGTGAAGAGGAGGGCTCCTTTCTCCTTTTTCTGTTCAGAAAAGGAGTGACTCCCCAAAACCAGTCAAAAATAATAATGTTTTTCCTCAAAGGCAGGTGTCACATCTTTGGATTTTTCATAGAACTCTGCCTGAAAGTAAATGTCTTCAGCTGGCCTCCAGTATTCCCCTCATGGGCATGGTCATCCAGGTTTCAGTATGTGCCTGAAAAAGGTTATCTCTCCCCGCCTACCCCGCCAGCATATTGCCAATCTTTTCCTTAAAGATAGCCTTTAAGGACTACTAACAATGTTTATATTTTATATTGGTTATGTGTGTTTAAGTTCTCTACTAGTACCATCTTCACACTAAGTACCTCAGCGAATGTAGACTTCAGCAGGAAATGGAACACCATCCTCTGGAATAGGCAATTTGTAACCTATGAGGAAATTCAGATGACCTTGGATGTTTTTTATTAAAGGACTTCTGTTGCCATTTGTCAGCAAAAGTCATATTCTTTCTAGAAAAGCCAATGGGTCCTAATTTTGCTAAAGGGAACCACAGAAGCAGACAAGAGTTCATTCAAATATTCTCTCTTCCCCTTCCCACCCCCAGATGCCCAAGGACTCAGAAAATACCTTGGAAGTAGAAGACAAAAGCTTGAATGTGAAATGGCAACACTTTCTGCATTGAAGACTAAAAAATGTTTTATTACACAAGGAGTTGGAGCAAGTTGTTGGGCCCTCTCAAGTCTAGAACACTTTCTACTGATCTATACACATGAACTGAGAAAAGAGTGTTGAATTCTAAAAATTTTCTGAGAAATAATCTCAATAATCAATTTGTCTTTTTATTTTCTCCCCTTTTACCCAAATAAAGCAGAGCTTCATGACCCTCCTTTTCAACTTGTGGAACGAGGACTGGGAAGAGACTCTTGGCACTAAGTGGCAGCCATATTTGCTTTTTCCCCTTCTGTGCAGAAGTAAGCAATGCATTGATCTTTGTGGAACCTTACAAAATGGCATCCCTGAACTGTCTTTTCTCTTGACTGAGACCTACATCCTCTTTTGTGTTTCTCATTCTTGCAAGTACAAAGCCTAATTCACTTGGAAAGCTTAGCTTTTTCATTGTTAACATTGGAGGGTCCTATTTTTTCTTACAGGCTTAGGCATATTGCTGCAGCTCTGGGCACAAAAAGCACTGCCTGGATTTGCAAAGGGTTCTCTGAAGATTTATGCAAATTTTTGCAGCAAAAAATGTTTGTTTGTTGCTACAAAGCTTGAATGTTTACCGATCTGAGCCAATTAGAAAGGCAACTTGGGTGTTCGTCACTGTTCCTCTGTCTATATGAGCTACCATGATGGAGGGGTGGAGATGTCTAGCCATTGTAAGAGAAGGTGGCGAATATGTGTGATGTGTAACTCCTCAGGGTCTTTATTTGGAGACAAACCTATGTGTTTTCTAACTACAGAAGAAAATACATATACCTACATTCATAACTAACACTTTCTCCATGTGTATAATCTATGTATATGTACAAACTAATTTCTCAAATATATCAGTTATTGAAATGAAGTCATTTTCTGTATATGAGCTATGATCATGGTTTAGGGGACCAGCAGGGTCAGAAGGTTCATTTCCAGATCAGCACAGAATGCCAAGGAAGGGATATTTTTACCTTCCCTTCACCTTTCCACCTCTACTCATGCACTAGGTCCCTCACCTAATAAAGAGACTTGCTCAAATCTATAGCTCTAAAAGTGATATTTGGGGAGCATTTTTGAGTGGGAGATCAAGTTTTGCTAATATACAGAAGACTCCCTTAAACCAACTAGAGTTTAGATAAGCACAGGTCTTTGGATAGTTTATGCTTGGGGCTGCTCCCCAGCCATGCCATCAGCCCTAGGCATCCTTCTCTGTAATAGCCAATATTTCAGGCAGCAGCACACAATGCAAAACATTCTCAAATCCAGCATGTGCATTTGCAGCTGTCTCCTCTCATCCAAGTGTTTTAGCCTTGGCCACCCATGTTTTAAAACTGTCTTTCCTGGATTAAAGAGCCTCTTCCCAGGGTGGAAAGCCAGGTAGGTGGTGCTTCATCTCTGACCTGGCCAATACCAATATTTCTCTGGTTAGTGGAACAGCAGAAAGATGCCTGGCAATACCTAAGGGGGCAGGCAAGACTGGCCCCAAACTAAAGATCATCTTTTCTTACCTGTGCAATAAAAACCACTCTGGAAATTAAAATGTGTCTCTAATCTATTCCCAGCACCATGTACAAACAGACAAATGTGCCTCTTTAAAAATAAATGGCTAAAATAAAAAGAGCTTTTCAACATCTATCTAATAAAGATGCTTTCCATTTTGGGGGAAAAAACAATACTTTTCTTAATTTTCTTCCCTCTCCCTTCCTACATTCCCCCCACCCCTGTAAAATGGCAGCTGCAAGAGCAGGCTCCAATGGGAAATGGATACCTTGTTAATAACAGATGCCAAAACCCAGCATCAATGGGAATCAGGGGAATTAAATTGTGGCATAACCTGGACTCTGGGATGTCCCCTACCGGGCCTACAATTTGAGTACTTTGCGGAAGTTCAAAGCTTTCATAACATCTTAGCAGGATTACCAGCAAGATGAAACACAGATAGTATAGCCAGCTCTCTTGACTACAAGAGCATCCCCCATCCCAGCTTTCTTTTTTTATTTTTTAAAAAAAAGCATGGGAAGTGTGTTACCCCCAACCCTTTCTTATCAGACAGAAGCCTTGAGCAAGTTGCTGCCTTATAAGGACACTGGCTATTGTATGTAATTCAGTAAAAGGAACATTTGCGGCGCTCAAAGACATTAGCTCTAGAAAGATTCATTTCTTTATTAAGGAGCTAGCTATGTTCTGGAGACGTTGTTTACACTCGAGTTTTCTGCATTTGCTCTCAGGGTTTGTTTCAAATATGTGAGGCCATAGTTCTCCTGAAGAACAGCAGAGGACCATACCAACCGTCATCTGAGATACCCATAGCAAATTGGCTTAAAAGGAGCATGCGAACAGAGCGAAGGAAATACAAATAAATATGGCACATACTCAAACAGAATCACAGTGGTGGCCCTAGTGTAGAGACCAAGCAATTTCAGGCGATTACAAGTGAGGTTCAAAATGAAAGCAAGGCGACTTGCCAGAGTGAAAGGTTAATGAGTGAAAATGTTATAAATGGTTTTTCAAGTATTAATTCACTCTAGATTATTTAATTGCCATAATTTGTATGGACTATAGAAAAATGATTAAATGTCAATTGTGACGTCCTGAAACTTTTGTCACTGGCCCAACATTTTCCCGAAGTTCAAGGAAGCTGCCAGAGCCTGGACTACAATTATACTCTTTAGCTAACATGTGCTTTTCAAATATTTGGCCCAGACTTTTCCCTGATATATTACATCAACAAAATACTCAGAGAAACCTTTAACTACTTTAGAAGTAAACAAAAGGCACCTGAACCATTCATTATAAAAGCATAAAGAAAAACATAAATAATACATTTTAATCAAATAATATAAAGTAAAAATTCTTCAGGCATAATTTTTAAAAAATTAATACTTAATTTACTCACCATAAAGAAAAGATTTAAGTTGTTCAAGTGCACTTGTTTGATTAATATAGCATTTCATATTCAATTATTTGTGCTAATAATTAGGAAGTTTACGTTGTTGAGGCAAATCACCAGTTCAGACATTAGAAACTACCATTATAAAAATATAGCTACAAGGTCAGTATCAAATTACCCTTTCATAGGACAGCCCAGGTATTGCTTCTATGCAATACTAGAAAATTTATTTAAACACCCAAATCCCTCTCAAAGCGCAGAAACCTCAAGAGCAGTGACATGAAGGTAGCTTGAAACACAGGTAAGGTCCTTTCCAAAAAAAGAAAATAGGTGGTGTCCACCAGCATATGTTGACCATTAGTTTTAATAGTCTGTGGTAAAATTTTAAAGGTAGAAGTTAATTTGTCGGGCCTTCAGCTCTGTCTTCCTCCAGCTCTTGGACTTCCTTTTTAGTTTCCCCGTCCTTCACCTCCTGCCGGGAAACGGGAAATTTGTCCTTGTTGTTCTCCTTTTTCCATTTCATTCTCCTATTCTGAAACCAGATTTTTACCTGTCTCTCAGTGAGGGCTAGGGCGTGGGAAACCTCAATTCTTCTCTTCCTGGTCAGATAAGGGTTAAAAAGGAATTCCTTTTCCAGCTCTAGGGTTTGGAAGCGACTGTAGGTTTGTCTTCCTCTTCGTCTACCAGGAGCTGCTGGTTAAAACAAAAAGGTGGAAATCAACGTTTAAAAAACTGCAATGGCATTTGTCTCTGCAAGTTGCTGGAGGTTTCTGAAATGGGTCTAACGGGTGAAATATACAGAGTGCTCTTCAGCTCTGTATATACAGAGTGTTGCAGGCAAGAGAAGCAGAGACAAGGTCTTCACAACTATTTTGTCCCTATCATCTTTACTTTTAAAAAAACCTTATTACTTTATGAATGAGAGCCACCGCGGCTAAACAAGAAAGAAAAGGAGCGGGAGAGGGAGAGGAAAGGGGAGTTTTAAAGCTAGAACGTGAGATGAAAGCAGATTTCTCCCCTCTTAAAAAAAAAAAAAAAGGCATCCCAACCTTGTGGTCTCATCCAGGGAAACATTTGAGAAGGAGACGAGCTCTGATTTAAGTGGTCTGGGTCCTCGCCAATATTACCACTGGACGATTTACAGTCAGGATATTGTACCAGCTCGGCCTCTTGCTGGGTCGTAAAAATCGGCTGTCTCTGTAAGTTATCGTATCCGTAAAACTTCGCGGGCTCCCCGTGACAGGCAATCCCGCCGCAGGGGGGAGGCGGCGGCGGAGGCGG